GATATTATGGCTTGTGTCTACATGTCTCTCCAGAGCCTCATGCAATCATAGGTGGGGCTTTTCAAAAGTGCCTTGTATCTAGAGTATGTGATGCTGGAATTAATTCAGGGTGCAATGCTAGGCTCAAGGGCACTAGGATTAAGGGTATAAGTCAACCTGAATAACTTAGATAAGATAAAAGGGACAGAAAGTCGTTAAGGTCCCTTGGATTTTTGCTATCTTCTGCCCTGTGTTAACTGTTTCTCCTCTGCAGTGCCCCTCTGCCATACCAACCTGGCTTGGAGCCAGCTGATTATTGACTGAAACCTCTACAAACTGAGGTAAATAAGCCTTTCCTCCTTTAACTCTGGGTATTGGGTATTTTGTCTCAGCAATGAGAAAAGTAATTAAGACAGCAGAATGGGTAAAACTCTTAAAGACATAGGCATAGGTAAGAACTTTGTGAACAGAATACCAAGAATCAACAAATGGTAAATTTTTTTTTTTTTTTTTTGGTACCGGGAATCAAACTCATGACCTCAGGCTTGCCAGGCAAGCGCTTATGCCACTGAGCTATATCCCCAGCTCCAACAAATGGGATTAGAGTGGTTCATAAACTTAATTTGTTCCACAGTTTTGGGGAAGATGGCTGCAATTGTTTGTCACCCAAAGCAGAGTTTGTGAAAGGAAGCAAAATTCTGCCAAACATTTCTGTTAGTGAATCAAGTTGTTCACACAAAGAAGTGTTCCTGAACTGAACCACCACTGTGTATCAAATTAAAAAGCACAGCAAAGTAAAAAAATCAACAGAGTGAAGAGACAACCTACAAAATGGGAAAATAGTTTACAAGCTACTTCTCAGAAGAGGACTAATATCTCAAAATGTAAATAACTCAAAAAAATGAAAGACCCCTTGCCAAAGTGAAAAGACCCAATCAGAAAATGGACAATGAAAGGGATGGTTTTCTAATGATACAGTGCCAGTAAATATGTGAAAAAATGTTCAGCATTTTAGCCAGTAAAGAAATGCAACTCAGAACAACACTGAAATTTCCATCTTACTCCAGAAAAAAAACTATCATCACAGACTCAAAACCAAAGAAGTACTGGCCAGGAACCCTTCTAAATTTTGGTGGCAGTAAAAACTAGTACAGTCACAATCCCTGACTTGAAGTTATACTACAAAGCTGCTTTGATAAAATCAGCATGGTAAAACCGGGCATGGTGGCGCATACCTATAATCCTAGTGCTCGGGAGACTGAGTCAAGAGGATCATTGTGAGTTCAAGACCAGCCTGGGCTACAAAGTGAGCTCAAGGCCAGCCTGAACTACATAGCAAGAGCCTGTCTTAAAAAGACAAAAAAAAAAAAAAAAAAAATCAGCATGGTACTGGTACAGAAACAGACCTGAGGATCAGTGGAACAGATTGAAGGTGCAGGCACAGCTACAAACACACTCAGCCACCTTATCTTTGACAAAGGGCCCAAACACATTCACCGGTTAAAAAAAAAAAGCCTCTTTAATAAGTGATGCAGGAAAAACTGGCTTTCCACATGCAGAAGACTAAAACTAGACTCAGTTCTATCACCTTGCACTAAGTCAGAATGGATCAAGAGCTAAATATTAAAACATAAACACTAAATCTGCTGAAAGAGAAAATAGAAATCTTGAAAACATAGAGGTAGGCAGAGAGTTCATGAACAAAACCCAAACTGCACGGGAAGTACTTCAAAGAATCAACATCTGGGATCTCACTGAAGTTTTTGCACATCAAATCACTAACCAGGTGAGAAGGAAACCTATGAATAGGTAAAAAATTTTAGCCAACTGTTCCTCAGACAAAGGATTTCTATCTAGAACATATAAAGAAAGTTTAAATATCAGGCCCCCAAAATTCAAAGACCCAATCCCAAAATGGGCATCTCAGATGCTCTTTTTGGGATTGGGTCTTTGAAATACACACTTCTCAGATGAAGAAATACAAATGGCAATAAATGTATGAAAAAATATTTGGTGTCATTGGTCATTCAAGAAATGCAAATTAAAACAACACTGAATTTCATCTTACCCTGGAAAGATTGGCTGTCATCAAGAAATCAACCAATAACAAATGCTGGCGAGGTTGTGGGGAAAAAGGAACTCTTCTGCACTGTTGGTGGCAGCGTAGACTGGTGCAACCACTGTGGAAATTAGTGTGGAGATTCCTCAATTAACTAGGATTAGAGGTCCCGCTTAACCCAGGTATTCCCTTTTGGGGTATTTTTCCAGAAAAACTGAAAACATCATACTACAGTGATATATGTGCATCCATGTTTATAGCAGTGCAATTTGTCATAGCTAAATCTTGGAAACAACCCAAATGCCCATCAATTGAGGAATGGATAAAAAAGTAGGGTATTTTTCTACAATGGAATATTGCTCAGCTATAAAAAAGATAAACTTGAGGCTTTTATAGGTAAATGAATGCAACTAGAGACCATACTCATAGGTGAAATGAATCAGACCCACATGTATAAACATTGTATTGTCTCCTAGTGTTAGAATCTGAAAGGTACAATAGATATTATGAAAGGGAAAGAAATTGCTCAAAGGGAGGGAACAACTGGGATGAGGGGAAGGAGAACAGAAAAAAGGAAGGAAGGGAAAAAAAAAAATATATATATATATATATATATATACGAGGACAGCTGGGATAATTGTACTGCTGATGTCTAATGGTCTATTGAAACAAACAGTTAATGCTTAAATTTTTTTAACCAATTTGGCATGCTTATATCTGGTAGTCTGAACAACTAATTTGAAGACAATAATATGCAATGTAACAACCATTGGTGAATTCCTACCGTCTTGTTCAGTGAAGTTCTTTTTCATTTCTAATTTTATTATTTTTTATTCACTTTAATTGTTCGATCAATCTTGCATTCTCACATCTAGTAATCTGAACTTCATTAAAGATAACAATATGTAATATAACAACCATTGTTAATTCCTGTCATCTTGTTTTGAAATTGTGTATTGTTTTATTGTTTTGTGTTGTTTTGTTTTTGTCTTTGTTATTTTGTTGTGTTTTTTTTCTCTTTAAAATAAAATTAAAAATATATAAACTAGTACAACTGGTGAGGAAATCAGTACTCCTCAAAACACTAAAAATAAAGATTCCATTTGATGCACCTATATACCTCTTCTGAGTTACGGATGTCGTATTTCAGTGATGCATGCATACCTTACTCACAGTACCTAAATCTTGTTTTTTTTTTTTAATTTTTTAAAAAAATTTTTTATTTTTGTTTTTTTTTTTTCCGGTACTGGGAATTGAACTCATGACCTTGCGCTTGCCAGGCAGGCGCTGTGCTGCTGAGCTAAATCCCCAGCCCCAAAGTACCTAAATATCGAAAGCAGCCTACCTGTCCATCAACAGATGAAGGGATAAGGAAAATCTGGTACATAGTTACAGTGGAGTACTACTCACACTCATACAGAAAGGCAAGTTTTAGTCATTTGAAGGAAAATGGATACAACTTGAGACCATAATGCTAAGTGAAATAAACCAGGTACAGAAGGTTGAATAGTACATGGTTTCTTTTATATGAGAAACTCAATGTATAAATAATTTAAAGAGCAAAATAAATGATGATAGGAAACAGGGAGGTAGACCTTCTAGAGATGCGAAGGGGACCTAGGAATGGCGGGAAGGGCAGGGAAGGAGAAGTAAAAGGATTATATGATGTGATGCATACATGTACCTACTCCCCACAATGTGTGTATTCATTGTGTATCACAAATGTGTACTAAAAAAAACTGGCTAATTCTGGAAGGGGCAGTTTCTCCCAGCTAGAAAGGGTTTTAATCCAATAAAGCATCATAATATACAGAAAATCAAAAATGTTACCTGACTTAATTTTTTTAATAAAGCCATACTTTGTTTTTATATTTTCTCTTAAGGGGTATTCAGAAGCATATTGTAATTGCCTCCCTCCTGTGAGTTAAAGCAGTAATAGGCAGTAATTTAAGAGTCATCCTGAGGCTCTGAAAGAGTGAGTAATCTATACAGACTCAGAAGTTAAGCTATGTTAGGCAGCACTTAAGCCATCTGACCATTTTTGGTCCTGGATGAGTCTTTTTCTCTAGTTGTTGTTTGGGGGAGTGATAAAGTATATTTTAATGAAAACATCTTCTCAGGAACTTTAAATAAAAGTAATTTACATTTTTAAATCTGAAACTCCGTGGCATCAGGACATCATCATTTCCTGCTGCACAGGCCGTTTTTTTCTTTCCTTCTTTCTTTGGAGATAGGGTCTGCTATGTAGTTTAGGCTGGCCTTGAACTTGTGGCAGTCTTCATCTATAAGCTTTAGATGTCACTGCACTACTAAATCCCCAGTGCTCTTGAGGGACGTGTTAAACGTGTTCTCTTCTGTTGGAACTCTTTGAGGAAGCTTCAGGGGTTCATTCTTAGCAAATGTTTAACTATTTTAGTTTTGCACTCACTGAAGAGATAGTGTAAACTTGAACAGTATATGTTTTTTTGAATCCAAGCATCTTTATTGTATGTTTTTCCCAATATGCACGTTTTTTGTACTCTTTATTCTGGTAACAGTATCAAGTTTATGAGGGCACTTTGGATCCCCACCATCTTTTTCATGATTTTCAGGTGAAGGCTGAAACATTACCTGGAATTGTTGATTTGGAAATTTGTGATGAATCCTGTGTGTACCAATGAGAGATTCCATACCTTTGTCACTGTCTGTAGTCTACCTGGGAGCCTCTGAACTACTGAGTGCAAAATCCCTGCCATCAGTGTAGTAATTATTTTTCTTCAAAGACAACACCTGCCACCTGTCCAGCGTAAACTTCCCAACAGAGACTTTTTCCTGTAGTTTGTTCAAAATCTAATTTAATTGCTAATATTAACTCTTAAAGCTTTAAAAGCCTATTACCCCTCCTTACCCTAGGAAGGAGAGTAACCTTTTAAGAATTCTTGGGTCACAATTTATTCTAGGGATGACCTACTCCTTCTTACAGCTACCTGGGGACAAAGACTTCGTGTCATGGCAGCCGGATTTGGACGACTCCGTAAAGCCCACACAGCAGGCCCGGCCCACTGTTATCCGCTGGTCTGAAGGAGGCAAGGAAGTCTTCATCTCTGGGTCCTTCAACAATTGGAGCACCAAGATTCCACTGATTAAGAGGTGAAGATGTGTCATGAGATGTTTTACTAAGAATTATTGCCTCAAGTTTGTAACAGCATTTGTAACAGCTTTGTGGGTACATTCTTTAGGAGAGTGTCACATAGATCTTTCCTGTGCTTGCAAGAAGTCTGTAACTGGCTGAATTCATTTGCTTTGACTTCTGCACTAATGTCAGATACAGCTAGGTAGTAATGTTACCTGCTTTTGTTGTTGCTGTTGCCACCATTGTTTTGCAAAGCAATATTGAACTATTTAACGATTGTCAGAATGGTCCTTTGTATGGTGAGTCATTTTCTAGAAAAATCTTACCAAAGTATGGACAGAATACTTTGAAACATTTTTGTATCCTAAACCTGCCTGTTACTTTATTTATACTTCAGACTTATCAAAAATATCTGAACTAAGGTGATCCACTTTGGAGAATCAATGACCTGATTTTTTTCCGGATATTAGTTAAAACAAGTTACTGCAGGGAGTGGGGAGGTGCTGGCAAATACACATCCAAGGTGATATAGAAGGGAGAATGGGTTTACACATTATTTTTTTTTCCATGAAGAATTCAGAGGCTTAGGAATATGAGAGGTCATTGGTATCCTGGTATATTTTCATATTCTGTTTTCTAAAAAGAAACTGTTTTTCCTATTTTCTTTTATAGCCATAATGACTTTGTTGCCATCCTGGACCTCCCCGAGGGAGAGCACCAATACAAATTCTTTGTGGATGGACAGTGGGTTCATGATCCATCAGAGGTAAGGTCTTCATCACGAAGGGTAGCATTTGATTTAGCAGCCTCATTTTAACTATCGTTGATATCAAGACTGATGGACAACAGCCCCCAGTGCTAGAAGATTCTCTCTTGTTAAAAGATGGAGGTACTATGTTAATTTTTACTTTAATTAAAAATAAAACTGTAATTCTTTTGTATATAATCCAAAGTTTGTTAAGTTTTTGGTTTAAAAAATTCTTTGGTAGAAGACTTGTATAGTACTTTGGTTTCCTGTAACATTTTTTTATGGCCTTCAGGGATGGATTTGAAAAGGGGATTCAGTAATTTTTTTTTCTATTCACTCTTTCAGCCTGTAGTTACCAGTCAGCTTGGCACAATTAACAATTTGATCCATGTCAAGAAATCTGATTTTGAAGTTTTTGATGCTTTAAAGCTAGACTCTATGGAAAGCTCTGAGACGTCTTGCCGAGGTAATTTGGTAGTGCTTGCCCTCTCTTGTCGTGGCTTTCTTGAGTTAACATATTCTTTCCCGGAAGTGTTTTTTTAAGTTTTGTTTAATGTTTCCATTCTTTCCAGGAATCTTCTGAACCCTGTATATATTTATATATCCTATAAACAGTTGGTAGGTACCCTTCTTTGCAGCAAAAAATATTTTAGTCTAGTGCATTTTATTTCAAACTTTTTAACTAGGATTCATGGCAGACATTTGTTTTGCATTCCAACCTAACATTTGTTTCACATCCCCCCACCGCCAAAACCCGTAACACAGGTCCCATGGTATGTCTGATTCACTCTTTTCTATTATCTTTTATAGACCACTAATACACTATAACCTATATAGTTTGAGAAGATATTTCTAGTAATATTTCAGATTTTCCAGTGACTCGGTGGCATCACCCAACAAAAGTTATAAGTGCTCGGTTTGTCTTCTTAAGGTGCCTCAGCTTAATCTTGCCAGTTTGAGAGCTCACTTGGCAATTTGGTAGTTTTATGAGACCCTGCAAGTATAGTATTCCTTGGGGGAAAATAGGTTAAAAATTAAAAACCACAATTCCTTTGTATGTAATTGAATTTTTGCATGTTTTTGCTTAAAAACTAATGAAAGAGAGACCTGTTATTTTCAAGGCCTTCTTCTTTTTTTTTTTTTTTCCCCTTCCTTCTTTTCTTCTTACATTTACATAGTACCAGGAGAGTAGTTGGCAAACCACATTCATAGTTGCAGGAGCCAGCCTGCAAACTGACCTAGGGGGTACAACTAGAGAATGAGTCAAATTTCCAACCGAGGGGGACCAGGGAGCTCCTGTCTGAAGAAGAGAAGAGCCCTGGGAGTCTAGAAAGTCCTGTTTTCATTAGGTAAAACATGGCACTGTAGCGATCCTGTAATCCAAGGTTTAAGAAACTCTGAATGATTAAGGAGAAACATAACAACTTTATACCCCGTATATAATTTTTTTTTGTTTAACCCTTGGCTGGTGTTGTTTTGCCCCAGGGGTATTGTGAGCATCAGGATTCCTGCACACAAACATGGGAGGGGGGAGATTTTGACCCACTTTCCCGTCCCAGGAAAGGTCAGTAAGGCCTCACATAGTCTCCTACACATAGTTACTGTTTTGTTATTTTACAGTAAGAGCTGTGCTCCTCTAAAGAGCAACACTCTATTTCCACTGACCATACTTCTCTACTGTGAATTCAAAGCTTGCTCTGGCAGCTAACTAGTTTTGTCAGCACAGGCAAGTCCCTCAAACTCTTGGGTTCTCAGTTCCTTGACAGTAAAACCAGGAGCTTAGACTTAGTGATTCTCCACAATCACAGTACCTTAAGTGAAGTATATCAGAATCTCAGGGCACAAGGAGCCCTATGAAGTTTCTGAAAGAATAACCCATAGTAAAATAATTATCTGTTAAAGAAAAATTTGAAAATAGTTTTCATTGTATAAGCAGGTTTAAACTGTACATTCTTGGATGGCAAAGACTTAAAGAGTTTAAAAATAATGAATTATGCAGCCTTTTATGACTACATTTTTGCATTGTGTGATTTTTGTTTTTAATTTTGTGTGTGTGTGTGTGTGTGGTGCTGGGAATCAAACTCACAACCTTGTGCTTCCAGGTAGGTGTTGTGCCACTGAGCTACATCCTCAGCCTGCATTATATGATTCTGACAAAGCAACTGATAAATAATAGATAGGTAGTCATAATTAGTGAAAATACTAGTGTACTTTTGATATTCTCAGTATCAAAAGTGTGCCCTGTTATACCCAATTTCCTTCCACTGAGGTAAGGCTTAGCATACATTTTATTAGGAATCTATAGATAATCGGTTTTAATGTCCACACAAGTAATACCAAGCTACGTATGTGACTTTGGCCAAATCATTTAACCAATTTGAATTTTTTTTATGATGAAAAGGAAATAAAAGCTGGCCTGGGGAGATAGCTCAGTGGCACAAACACCTGCCTGAAAAGGAAATAAAAGCTATTCTATGTACTTTGCAACCCTGTTTTGTGGATTATATGACAAAATAATTGAAAGTGCTTTGAGAAGTTTCAAATTCTGTTTTTAAGATATTACTTAATATCACTATTATTACTTTTTCCTTTTGTTTCATATATATTTACCTGAAACCTGAGTTCTTTAAATGAACTAATTATTAAAATCATTACCAGTGGAGTCTAAAATGTTACTAAATTTTTTAATTACTTATTTTATTGGTTTTTTATTTGTTTTTGTTTTGTTTTTTATTGTTGTTTTTGAGACAGGGTCTCCCTATATAGTTCAGGCTCTCCTTGAACTTACTATGCAGCCTAGGCTGGCCTTGAACTTGAGGCAATCCTCCTGCGTCAGCCTCCTGAATGCTGGGATTATAGCCATGTACCACCATACCTGGATACATTATTTAATATTTTAAAACAAAAATTTCATTTTGTATATTTCCTTCTATTCTGTATACTTCTTTATATTTTTGAAATTAATTCATATAATATAAAATTCACGCTTTTAAGTTGTAAAATTCAGTAATTTTTAGTACAACTGTTACTATACAAACTGTCACTATTAAAAATTCCAGAGTGTTTTTACCATGCACCAAAGAAACTTTGTACCCATTAACAGTCATTTCCCATTTCATTTTTCTTCTGTCTCTGTCTAAAGTAGTACAAGTCTACTTTCTGTCTTTATGTGTTTGTCTTTTGTGGACATTTCATATAAATAGGGTCATATAATTTGTGGTCTTTTGTATGCAGCTTCTTTCACCAGTGTAATGTTTTCAGATTCATCCATACTGTAACATGTATTGATACTTTGCTTTTATTTATGACTGAATAAAATTTCATGTTATAGGCATGCCATTTTTTTAGCCATTCATTGTTGGTAAACATTTGGATTGTTTCCATGTTTTGGCTATTAAAAATAATGCTGTTATGAACATTCAGGTACAAATTTTTGTGTGGATATATGTTTTATTTTGGGTATGTACCCAGGAATGTACTGGGTCATAAGGAAACTTTCTATTTAACTCTTAGGGGAGCTGCCGAACTGTTTCCCAAAATGACTATATTGTTTATATTCCCAGTAGCAGTTGGAATACTGTAGTATGAAGGTTTCAGTTTTCCTAGTACTTGTTAGTCTGTCATTTTGATGATAGCCATCCTAATAAAAAATTGTATCTTATTGTGGTTTTGGTTTGCACTTTACTAATGACCACTGTTAAATTTTCTCCTTAGTGCTGCAATTATTGTAGTATGAGTTGTTTTAGAGCTTATAACCATATTTGTTGCTTAGGTAGGGAAAAGAGGAGATCTGGCCTTTTCACGTTATTTTAAAGTAAGGCATCTTGATATCCATTATCTCTTCGATTTCCTCAGACACATTGGGAAAGAAGGCAAAGGTGATTATTCTTATTTTATAGATGAAGAAATTGATCAGATGAAGGTATTTGTCCAGTCATGCAGCTGATAAGTAGAAAGTATCTCATCCCTGAGACTAGATCTTTGACCTCCACATCTCTTCATGGCATCATGTTATCATGTTGGGGAACTTTGCTTTCTGTCCAGGATGACTTGGACTTTTACTTTTGGTACCTTAATAGTTGTAGATCTAATAGTTTATGATTCATGGCTACTTTAGTATTTAATATTAGTGGACATGTATTGATTGATACCTTTCTCCAGGTATCATTATTGGTTTTTCCAGCTTTCCCTCATATTTGCGTAAATATCTTTCAGACCTTTCCAGCTCACCGCCAGGGCCTTATGGTCAAGAAATGTATGTGTTTCGATCTGAGGAGAGATTCAAATCCCCACCCATCCTTCCTCCTCACCTTCTTCAAGTTATTCTTAACAAGGACACTAATATTTCTGTGAGTATGCTGAGCATGTAGGGGTCTCTAGGACCATCTGGGCCAAAATTAAATAATTCTAGAGTGAGATTATTACAAAGGTATGTTGAGATTATAAATCACATATGTAACCAGTAGCATGTACTTACAGATTCCTTTTTCCAAGGCTGAGTTTTGACTTAAGCGGATGTCACAATTTATAGTTGTCTCTGTCCCTAATGAAAGCAGGCCCAGACTATGCTACAACCAGTATCTGCTACTTCTGTTCCAACTCGAGATACTTAGGTGGATATACAAAAGGATTACAGGGTTTTTTTTGCTTACGATTTACATCTCTAATCATTGTGATTGATTTCCACTAACTTGATTTTTGTCACTTAACACAAATTTTCATTATTTGTTGTAGGCGAGATTTTGTTTTAGCTCTATTAAGGAACATTAGTACATGTTGAGGTGTAGTGTTTCTGCCCTGGACTGAAATTTGTCCAAATTTTCTGGGAGTGTATTATTGTATATATTGGGGGGTTACGTTATTTAAAGGAGATAAATTCTTCTAGTTTAGAGTTCTTAGTATTCCCAGAGTGCTCTGATAAAGCATTGACTATCTGGCTTTGCAGTGCATTTAATCCCATTAACTAATTTTCTTTTTTCCCCTCTTAGTGTGACCCAGCCTTACTTCCTGAGCCCAACCACGTTATGTTAAACCACCTCTATGCATTGTCCATTAAGGTGAGTGGTAGTCCTGATTCTTTGCAGCTACATGAAAGGAGAGGGTAAGGGTAATGCATATTCTGCAGTTGTTACTTGTTCTTCTGCTTATCAAAGCTAAAGCTGATGATAATGGTCAAATTATAGAAAAAATTTTTTTTATATTAGTGGATTGTTTTTAAATATTGGTCTCTGTATCTATGTTCTGACTAGCTGAACTGTTCAGTAACTGAATAGACTTTTTAGCTTCCTGGTTTCTTTTCTGGTGGCTAGAACCTTTATACCACCTACTTAAGTTTTAATTCATACCAGTTACAGTTCTTTCACAGAAAAATCACATTTAGCTTCCAGTGCAAAAAATGCTTGGATGTGATAGTAAGACTTGTACTTTTAAAATGTGAAATTGAGCTACCTTCAGGTATCTCTGTCCTAGATATCTAAGAGCTTGCGTCTCTCCTGTACAGTAGGTAAAGGAGGATATGTCCAGATTTTCAGTCCCCTGCCCCTCTAGAGGCCTTTGTTTTTCTGTGGCTTTAGACTCTGAGTTGAAAATACCTGTTCTATTCTATCTTGCCATCCACTTGTGGTTTGGTTATTAAAATATAGTTACATAGCTCTGTGGCTGTCAAGGTAGGCTGGTAATGATCAGAATCACCTAGGGAAGTTTGTGATAATACAAATTCAGTGGCTACATCCCTAGAAAGTCAGAGTTAGTGCATCTAGGGTGGGCCCCAGTAACTTTTTCTTTAAACTGCTTATATTTCTTAGGTGTGTTGTTAGATTATAAAAATCACTAACAGGGCTGACTTTAATAGATTATATGGTAGTGTTACTGAATTTCATTTTTATAATTACTTTGTGAGGTAAGTATTATTTTTAACCCCTGTTTTATAGATAAAGAAACTAAGGCTCAGAGAAGGTCAAATTGCCAGTAAGTACCAGAGACAGGACTGAGGTCCAGTCCTCTTATCCTAATTCCATATTCTTTCCTATATATCATTACACCAGGTCTCCCCAAATAGGTCATTCTCTTACTTGCTTCTTATTTCTATAAAGTCTTTCTTGTGGTTGAACCTTTTACCTGCCTTACTTCTGTCATTTTTAGGGTGTGTATCAGCATACTCTGGTCACAGAATGTTAATCTGAGAAACATTCATTGTGTGTAATACAGTGTTATGGAAGGTAGGAAGATACACTGGGTTTTGAATTGGATATCCTTGTGTTTGGGATTTGTTTGAACTTTATTGCTTCTGGTAACTGCTCCTCAGTTGTCATTTGATATCACAGGCCTGCCATCTCCTCCTGTGGTATACCCACAGTCTCTAAAATAGCTTGAGAAATGGTAACTCTTACTTTCTTCTTACTGGATCTGACCTAATTGAAGTTCTTATGGTTCATCTTGGCTTTCACCCATTCATGGTTCTCTCACATTGTTTAGGCCATTTGGAACTGATCCAATGGATTGAATGTATTTCTAAGGAGAATTTTATTTTGTTCAAGAATAGAGGGGGATTCCTCAGGTGTCTTTAGATCAGAGAGCTTTTTGAGTTCATCCCTGATATTCAATGAGAATTAGACTTCCTTAAGAGCTTGGAAATGGTTTTACAGAAGGATCAGTTTCTTCTCATTGCATTTATGTTTTCTTTCTAGACCTGGAGAATAGGGTACTTTCTTTTTTCTTCACTAGTTTTAAACCTAGTGTTGAATTTGAAGTGAGAAAGAGAGTGAGGTAGGAAACTAGTATTTATTCAGTACTTTTTATGTGCCTAATTCTTTGTCACATACTACCCTGTAATCAGAATCACTCAAAGAGGTGTTATTTTTTTGTATCATGAGGGGAAAAAAGACCTGGAAACCATAAGTCTGTTACCCACAAATATATATGATGGTAGGAATCCAGATTGGAATTGAAGTTGATTCAGCTATAAAACCAACCTCTTTCTATTGTGTCTGAATTATCTCTGTTAAAAGTGAGTAGCTGTGACTCAGCTGGGAACAGCTACCTGTGGCCTAAACTAATGAATTAGCTGCGTGTGCTTCTTTCCCTTGCAGGACAGTGTGATGGTCCTTAGTGCAACTCATCGCTACAAGAAGAAATATGTCACTACGCTGCTGTACAAGCCCATCTGAAGGCACCCTTCTTGCCTCTGAGGATTCAGGAGAAGCCTCTTTCTTGCCTGTGACTGAACCAGTCTTCTCTGAGACTGGAAGGCTGATTTGCTTTGAGGCTGATGTGTGTGTTTCAGAGCCTCTGAGTAGGATGCTCTGCTTTTGCATTTGATTGCAGATGAGAGCTTTATGAGTTCATGGAATTTATTTTAAGAAAAACATATATATATATATGAGAAGAAGGTTATAAACATATATATATGAGAGGAAGGTTACTGGAAGCCTCTAGCCCCAGCTAGATGTAGTATTCCTGCCTGTGGGTACTTTCTAAGACCTGTTTGGGGGAGCTGCAGGAATAACTACACAGGAAGCATTCTTTCTTAAAATGAAAGAATAGCAAACTCTTAGGATCCTTGTTGGGTAGTGATTCTACCACTGCTACCTTGGATGTCAAAGGGATGAACTTGTGCTAGACTGCTACCCTACTTAGAGCTGCCTCATTGCAGAGGTGGCTTTTCTTGCATGGGTTCTCTGTATTCCCATAGTATGTGACACAACCTGTCTTTTTCATTTGATACCTCTTGCCCCAAAAGAACCCATTTTTCCCTCTCATTTTAGCTTCTTCCTTTTAATAACCTTCAAATTCTGTATCTGACCCCTCTAATACAAAACTCACTGGGTAAGTAACCTCTTTGAAAAGTTGTATGAAGCCTGACTGACCCATACTAGAAGCGGATTGCCAGAAGATCACCTGTTTAGCCCATTAAAGGCTTACTTTGTTACTGCTTTTACTTCTGCTAAAGAAAAGCAATATGACTCCGTGTTATGAGGTAGAATGCAGAAGATCTGTTTGTTTTAATTTGGAGCGACAGCTTCAGCAGTATGGCATATTCCCATAGGTTTTCCCACCTGGCCTGGCCCTGCTTCCACCTTCTCTTTCTCAGAGAAGCAGCTGTGTAGATAGGCTTGGAATCAAGGAAAACTGTCTTTCATCCTTGAAAGGTTTTTGTCTTTTTTTTTTTTTTTTTTTTCCTCTGGTACTGAGAATCAAACTCACGACCTCACGCTTGCCAGGCAGGCGCTGTGCCGCTGAGCTAAATCCCCAGCCCCCCTTGAAAGATTTTTGTGTGCCGCATTTTTGCCTTAATTAAAAAAAATGCCTTTCATTGGTCTTAAGATACTTTATTGAAGACTTTCTAGCTTTTAAAAAATGGTGAAGATTTTCTTCTCTAGTCTAGAAAAATCTACAATCTTACATTAATATAGCCAGCTTTACACTAAGCACTGCTGTAAATATTAGTCCATTTAGGCTCATTTGATGCACATAATGGATTCCCTTAATTTAAAGATGTGTAAAGCCATGATGTAAGAGAATGTCTGGTATTCCTAACCATGAAAAGTGTTACACTTTATACCAAATGTTAACAAGATCCCTTTTTTCTTTGTACTCTTCTTTAAAAAATGTGTTTGATGATGAAGCGGATCACTGATACGTGTTTATGGACTGAAAAGTATCTATTCAATCCACCCTACAGGTTCAGAGAGAAAACAGAGATAGCGGCACAGTTGTCTTTGAGTCCATTGAACTCTTTGATCCCAGGTATGAAGCAGTAAGGTGGCAGTTGTCTGCAGGGAATGCATTAGTGCTTAGTAATTGTTAATTGTTGAAAGTAAAAACTGAGTTAGCCATTCAAAGTTACCTTTGGGAGAATTTTTTGTGGTCCACACCACTTTTTGAATGGCATGCCATTTTAAAAAGCCAGGCCAAATCTTATAACCAGCTCTCGGGATCTAGAGAGTTTTCAATTTTACTGGAATTTTGTTTCTATCTAGTATCCAGGAATAAGTGGGCCACCTAGAAAGATTTAGAATCTTGGTGGTTACAGGGAGGATTTTGTTGTACTTTTTCTTGTCAACAGTGTTGAAACACAATTTTGTGTATTAAAATTTTTACTCCACACAAGTGTACCACTATAGTGGGGCAGGAAAAAAAAAAAAAGATCTCTTCAATTTGCCTCAGGCCAGAGGCTTCTGTGAATTGGGTCTAGCTCTGATGGTAGTAAGTGTTAGTGCTGGTGATCTTCAGGTGTGGAAGTGTGCAGTGTCAGTTCCCAACCTCAGGTGTTCTCTCAGCTAGATCTGAAGCAAGCCTGCCAGCTGGTGTGGAAGGGAATGGGTAAAAGGAGTGGGTGATGAGTCATTCAGTGCCAACCTTTGTCTGTCCTGCTAATACCTCGTCTCCTGGCGTGTCACAAGGAAACTTCTGGAGGGGAGAGGAGGGAGGATGGTAGCCTTAAGTACAACTCACTCATCCTTTCATATCTTGATTAGTTAAAGGGGTAGCTTACTTTCTGCAAAAGAGCAATTTGTCAGATTTTGAAAATGAGTAAAGGCAAATGACATAATCCTTTTTTTGGTGACCGGGGGCATTTTTCAGAGCCATGATTAAGAACAACAAAAAAAGAAAATAGCCCTTAAGAAGGAAATAACTGCAATATTTGGACTGTAGGAAAAAGAAAAGTGCCTGAGCTGAGGAGGACAGTAGGAAACTAAAGACTTAAGTCACTCAGAACTGAAAATATCCTTTTTTAAATAAAAAATTAAAATCAGAAATAACCTGGTGGTATTCTTGGATATCAGTGTACAAAATTTAGCAGTAGATACAGCACATCTTCCTTTTGCCTCTTATCATTCCTATTCTCTGTGCTTTCCTTTATAGTTTCTTTTAACTTCATCAGACTTCAGTAGAGTTTAAGTCTAAGTATTAGTCTCTTTATCTAATATATCTGAAATAAAACATTTGCAGATTGTCAGTACTACATACATGCCGCCAAAGTGAAGTTTGGAAAGAAGTGCTACCTTCAGACTGAGTTTGTATTAATCTGGGATATAAACAAAGGAGAAACATAGATGATAGAATTCCCCATTTTTAATTGGGGAAATAGGGTTTTTAAAATTTTGACCTCAACTAATACTGATATGCAATAGTCTGTGTGTGTTTGAAATACATTCTATTTTTAGAGATTTCTTCACCCTCACATTCTAGTGATTTGGGGCATGGTCCTAAAAGCAAATACATAATTTGTTTCTACATTATTTTGACTCATCCTTAAAGCCAAGTTCTTGCTGCTGACTCCGGTTACACATGAATTGGAGGACCTGGTATAGGTAAGGGTCTTTCCAAGTTTTATGACTAGGGGTTCGTCTCTCTGTAAGTACCAAACACAACTGGAGATTGAAGGACTGTGGTTTCTGCAGTGAACACAGAGTGAAAAGGCAGATCTTTTATAAATTATAAGAAAAAAGAAGGAATGAAAGAGGAAAAACACCTCATCTGTTACTTGTAGAATTGAGTTATTGGCAGTAGAATTCCTCTAGAATTGGGATTTTTGTCTTGATTTGTTTTCCTCACTTCTGTTTTGAAGTGAGTATGCTTCATTAAAAAGTAAATTTTGGGGCTGGGGATATAATTCAGTGGCATAAGTGCCTGCCTGGAAGTGCAAGGTTCTGAGTTCGATTTCTGGTACCCCCCCCAAAAAAGTAAATTTTGTATTAGCTTCAATATTAGTTGGAGTTAAGTAAATTGTGCATAGCACAGTACTTCACAGTAAGAGTGGTGTGAAATACTAAACTATGGACTTTACAGGAGTCATGTTAAGTGCTGAGGGGATACCTATGTTAAGTATTAACATAAGGAATCGTCTGCTTTTTATTCTCCTCCTCAGAGCACTAGCTTACCCAGCTTGCATTTTTAAAACAGTGAACATTCAATGTTGATCAGTCCTACTGCACTGGGTCCCAGATATGAGACTTACTTGAATTTTGTAAGTTGGATAATGTTGGCTGACATTATACTGAAGCATTTAATGAGTAACTCTATGACTGCTGTAAGGGGGAATAAGACTATAACTTGAAGGGAATTAAATATGAGAGTCCTCCTTTAAATGGTGCTTTTTGTAACCGTTAATGCTGAGGTACAGAACTGCTTTTCAGTATTTCTCAAAGGAGTGGTATACAGATAGGGACTTTAAAACTTAGCTCCAAATGTAATTTGACTCTGACATGCTTGAAAATTATATAACGTAAAACATAAGAAATTTGGTATTTTTCCTCATAAAACTGTTTAATAAAAGTATTACACAGCAATATTTGAGTTGTCTTCTGATACATTGTCAAGATTTGTCTGCCTTGGTCATCTCAGAACCTAAAGAATGTAAAGTTGTCAGACAGTATATTTGAGTAAAAGGAGAAGTCATCCCTGCAGGGGATACAACTAATGTCCTTCCCTCTGCCACTTTTCTCTTTTTGTTCCAGGATATGCCAGCATTAACTGAGAATTCAAACTTAGTGATTTGATCTCCAAGATTTTCTCTGAACTGACTACATTTCAGTGTCATCCTGTGCCCGATTAGCTGAGATCTTAAGCCCAGGGATTGTCGCCCCTGACTGCGCATCCCTGTCATCTGTGGGGATTCCAGGATTGAGTTATTGGCAATAGAGTTCCTCTAGAATTGGGATTTTTGTCTTGATTTGTCTTCCTCACTTCTGTTTTGAAGTGAGTATGCTTCATTAAAAAGTAAATTTGGGGGCTGGGGATATAACTCAGTGGCATAAGTCCCTGCCTGGAAGTGCAAGGTTCTGAGTTTGATTCCCAGTACCATACACACAAAAAAAGTAAATTTTTGTATTAGCTTCAGTATTAGTGAAATAATATTAAAATTATTAATTTTAATGGTGCCCAGTCTATCACCTCCCTCCTAGTTAAGTGGAAATCTCCAGTGTGAGGTCCAGACGGCTGTATTCTTAAGTTCCCCAGATGACTCTAAAATATATTTAAAGGGGCTGGGGATTTAGCTCAGTGACAAAAGCGCCTGCCTGGCAAGCGCAAGGTCGTGAGTTCGGTTCCCGGTACCGGAGAAAAACCAAAAAAAAAAAAAAATATATATATATTTAAAATTGAGAAACACTAATTTGGACCTTCCCTACTTGTTTTTCCTTTTCAGGTTATATACTTAATTTTATGTAAAAACTGATTACATACTTCATTCTGACAGCACATCACTCAGATGGCCTTGTTCAGGACCAGGAGTATAATATGATCCTTATTTTCCATCCCTTTATTTCACAGTGTTTTTATACAGTTGGCTCTGGGTTTCTTTTCCTAAAACAACCAAGCTTCTGTACATTTGCTACTCTGACGATTCAACCTGGTTGAGCTTTCTTAGAGGAGAGTGTAAGATGAAAGAGATATAACTGATGGGTAAAGAAAACCTATGATAGTAGGACTGGACCAAAACCTTTACTGTCAAGTCTCAGTAGTAACCCCAGAGATTGTGCGGACTACATAGTGATGTATGATATACATTCTAGAATGTTCTCTTTAAACATCATGTACTCTTAATTACTGAAACAGTGACACCAGGATTCCATTAGAGCCAAACCTGTGCTGAAATGTGCTTTCTAAAATATTTCTGATGTGCTTGGATTGAGTTCTTTTGGTGTATCCTTGCCAGTTCTCTCTTCCTTCAGTGAACGTGGTAGCATAGGTCGTTCAGAGACGTCATGAGTCTCCCTTTGCTTTCCCTCCAGCCCCTGTGGTCACTTCGGCATCACATGTTCAGATCTGCAGTACCACCTCCTCCTTCCTAACACATTCTCCGCCCCCGGACACTTACACATTAGGTGAAGAGAACTGTTTGTGTTCTCCCACCAGTTAGCATTCTTCAGGCACTTAGTTTTGCTCTGAAAGAAACTTCTGTCTTGAAACTTCCCTTCATCAGAGATGAGAAGGCCTAGATTCATATGTTGTATGATATTTTAAAACCCAAAGCAAATTTCCAGATCATTTAACTTCTCCCAAGCTAATTTCACTTCAGTACCATTTCCAAAGTGTTTTTAATAGTAACAGCCTATGTGATCAGGTAAGGATTTTGAGCAACTGAGAGGCAAGATCACTACAGATCTGTGTACCCTTGATGTTGAGAAAGTTCCAGATCAATTGGTATTTAAAACCATGACCTAGAGCTTTTAACTTTTTGTTTTCAGGGATTTTTGCTATCAATTATAGTAGTTCTCAGTTACAGTTACAAGTTAGAGGTTGGAAGTGAGTGAGGGGATGGCTGTTGCCCTTAACAGGATCTCAGAAAATAGAAAGAGTGTCAAGGGACAGGTTAAGAATATTTTAAATGCACAAATCCTTTGTGCCAACCTGAATTGGCAGATCTACATTCTATAGGTTGGGGAGTGATTTAGAATTAGACTACCTGGGGATGAAGTACAAGAATTTGACAATCCTGGGATCTATCAGATCAAGGGCTAACCTGAATTTGGAGAATTTTGAGAGGTAGCATCTTACTTTCAGGTGTAGCAGAAACCTAGCAGCAACTAGAACTAGATAAAGTTTTGGGGAAAACAATTGTGCCTGGGGATCTGAAATTACTAGCCATTTTACCCCCTGATGCTAGCTGCTGATTCTGGGCATGGACTGAGAGTTGACCTTTGCCCAGCCAGAGGGCTTCTGCTGGGGCAAAGTGAAGCCAACAAATCTCTTAGCAGTGTATAAAAATGGAGGAATGAGTTGAAACTTCAGGGCTTCAGGTGTGCAGCTGACTTTCCCCCAAAGGACTCTTACTGTATGAAAGCTTATGAGACACCACAAAAGCTTATAAAAAGCAGAGTGAAATCTGGGATTTGTGGTGCCATGGTGATAAGGACTGACTAGGACAAAGCACATAGCCCCAAAACATTTTCCAAGTATGGAGTAATGCAGGGTGATAGAACTAAAGAGCTTTACTAAAAATTCTTGAAGGACTAAATATTTTCCAATTAACCACATACCACAACAAAACTAAACAATAGGTATAGGACTACAAAAATACCTGGCTGTCAAAAATGTAAACAGCCACAGTGATTGACAGCCAATCGAAAATAACCAGGAGATTTTTACCAGGCAAAATAGAGCAAGGGGTTAGATTTACCTTTCCACTCTAAACAACTAAAGAGCCACACAAAATAAATGAAACAATAGTTTTCAGACACTGCCTTAGTGTATGCTGTGCAGTTAGAATACCCAAGACTGGCTAATTTCCAAAAAAAAAAAAAGATTAGAGTTCTAAAGGCTAAAAAGTCCAGGGGCTAACATTTGTCATAGACCTTTGTGCTGTGTCATCCCATGGTGGGAGGTGAAAGGGCAAAGAAGGGAGGGGAGGGAGACACAACAACCTTTTATATAAAGAAATGACTCCTGTGGTAACAGACTCACTCCAAAAATAGCAGCCTTAATCCGTTAATGATGACAGCTGTCACAACCCAATCATTTCTTACAATTTTCACCTCTTAAATTTGGCCTCCATCCTAGGGTATTGCTGGTTTGGGCACAGGGAGTCTTCTGCCTTTGAATACTGAGTCATCATAATATGATGGGCCAAGAGCTGCCTCACACAAAGTGGAGAGCTGCCAGGTTCAAGGGGTGAAAGGCACAGGGTCATACAGGTCTCAAGGACTTGGGAGAGTCCTCTATTATGCAGTATTCAGATTAAAACTGAAAGCCAAGATCCCACATCACACCATTACCTCCTGTGCTGTGGTTGGATGTGAATTATTTGATCTTATTAGTGGATAGTGTTCTCTTCTGGACTTAATTTCTTTTGGCCGGCTCTCTAATGTGCTGTTGGTCTCTGTCCTCTGTCCCTATATTCTCTCCCCTGACCCTTCCCTCTCCCTTTCCTCCCACTCTACCCTTTTCTTGACCTAGCCACCTGCTTTTTGCTTGCACTTTACCCATTTCTCTCCACAATCACCAACATGCCTCAGTGTGAGGCTACTACTTTGTCTGGAATGTGCAACTCAGTAAAGTTTCATATGGTATCCTAGGCTTTTCTAGGGAAACTTAGTTGAATGCAGTATAAAAGTATTAAAGAACAGCCACTTTTTTGAGATACTGGTAATTGAATCCAGGGGCACTCTGCCACTGAGCTACATCCCTAAGCCTTTTTATTTTTTATTTGAGACAGGGTTTTGCTATGCCATCCAGACTGGCCTGGAACTTGCCATCTTTCTGGCTCAGCCTCCTGGGATTATAGACATATGCCATCATGCTGGACAAAGAACAGCCACTTTTTAAAAAAATTAGTACATGTTTGCAGTGTATAATGATCGCTTTCATCATGGGGGTCTGTACGTGTACATAACTGTAGGGAGTGGCTGAAGCTGGAAATTGGTCACACGTATGGGGGCAAGGCAAAGCCAGCCCGAGAACATGGAGAGCTTCTCCAGCCATGTGAACAAGCTGTTCTAGCTTGCAAATAAGTTTCTAGGCAGAGAGGTTGAAATTGACATCAACCTCCTGAGAGGATAAATACACAAGTTACAGTTTTGGGGCAGTTGCTTTCCACCCATCAGGAGAGAGAAGGCTCCACCTGACCTCAGCTTTTGTGGCTTATCTTTATTTCTCAATCCTCTTGCCGTGTTTCCCCTGGGAACATCAAGAGCTGTATGGGACACAGCAGATGGCTTCAGGACAGGGATTCCAGTAGGACAAAACAGTGGGTGAGGGGACACTTCTCATTGTGTGCAGTGAGGGGGGAGAAGTGCATTGGTAACACCAATATTCAGCACAGGATTGCATCGGTATTGGCATTTAATCAAGTGTAAAACTTGGGGTGTAAAGGTTCACCAGGGTCAGAAAAAGGTTCGCAAGCACCTGAAACAAAATAGGCTTAGAAGAAGCCAAAAGGAAAAAGGTGTAGGCATGGGGCAAATAGAGTCTCAAGAACCACAAATGTATATAGATCTATATAGAAATGTTTGTTGTATTCTTGGTTCCTGTATTTACTTTTTAAGACCCCCCACAAAGGATTTGTCTCAGAGTACTATTTTAAAATCAAGTCCCCAGTAGGAAAAGGAGGGTGGAACAACCGCCCTACTGATAAAGCTTAAACTCTCTTTGCTCAATCAAATAAGGAAGAAAATATGGGTGACAAAAAAGGAAATTCTTTTGAATTGTGCACAGCTGGCTCAGAGCAACATGGCGCTACCAGGGGGAGGGATGCAGGCTGGGTGCAGGGAGGGCCCTGTGCTCCAGTCCTAGCCAGACTCAGTTGGGATTTCCCGGCTGCCTGGGAGCCCTTGCACTCTGCCCAACCACT